ATATAGCATTACATTACTAATTAACCTTCAAGTTCAAGTACATGACAAGATAGTTATGCTACATTAGAGAAAATAATGTAATTATTTACATTAGTCAAATAGATCTTCAAACTGATTAAGGTCTGACAAAAATTTCATTGAAACTCAAATTTTGATTTGATATTGTAGTCATATTGTTAATTTAGTCTGTATAAATAAAGAAATAAATTGTTTTGAATTAGGTCCATAATGTGATCTTTCAGAGCATTCAATATAAATCACCTTGACTGCTGATTTGGAAATATAGGAGAAAAAGGATTTTATGAAGAGAGAAAATGTGATTATCACAACAGTTCTTGATGCACTGTTCCCTTTCAACTCGGTCGACGAGTACACCAGAATTGATTCTTTGTCTATAAATATTGGTAACATTTCCATGCTGATTAAAGATGCATTTAATTTGTCTGTCTTAATACAGGCCAACTTTTACTGCTGCTTTAATTCTAAAAGGAAACTAGTTTGTACTATTTTTCCTTCCAGTTGACTTAATTCTTGTAAATTTAAATAAATTATATAAGATGTTAATGGAAAATTATCACTTGTGAGCTTTGTCAGCTAAAGCTCCTTTAGAAAATCATATTACAAATGATGTGTTGGAAATCTCCTGGAGTATTTAATGTAGGTGGGGGGAGGTGCTATTTTAATTTGGAATTTGATAGAAGTTTGCATTTTTTTTTAGGTCAAGGCTATTGATATTCTTGTATAATAACATTCCAGAAACATCCTCAAAGATTTTTCCAGGTCCCATTGGAGATTTATTGATGTTTAAATCATTAGAGCATGAAAGTAATTAGTAAGTTACAATGTAACTGATTATTGGATATCATGGAAATAACTTGTATGAAAGTAAAGTGTACCATTAACTATGGGCAGTCAGTTATAAGACAGTGACAAAATTGCTATATAAATTCTTCAGTTATTGTTTTTGGTGCTGTCTATAGAATTGTTGCTGGAAATAAATGTTTATTTTAATTCTAGAGCCATGCAGGTTTGAAAGCCCTTAGCTTTTTTCATGTAATTGATGTGCTTCAAGTTATCAAACTGAATTAAAATGGCTTTTTGCTGCAGTTTGCATTTGCCACAATAGACTGTAATATAGCTGTCAATTCTAACCAGTGCAGTGTGAAACCATGAATTCTGGCATTTCCAATATGCTGATTCAGATATACCCTATTATTGATAGGAAGATGTCATTTATTATTCACAATTTTAGTATAAAGTGTCTCTTTTTCCATGCAAGGTGTGCATACAATAATGGCAGAGGATTTTTATTGATTCTCTCTTTATTCTGTGTATTAAAATGTTTGTTATATTCCTCCCTGATCAATACTAATCTGATTGATTGACTGTTTGATTTCAGTAACTTGATTATGGAGGGCCCCCAGAAGTTCTCTGGACCTATTACTTGCTCATACAAACATGGTTGACCTCTGTTTGGCTGCCCTTAACAACAAGTGGAAACTACAAGTACCAAAAGATCAAAGAAGGCAGATAGGGAGCTTTTCCTCTGTGAATGCTTGTATACTTTGGCTATAATTTTCATTGAGTGGATTTTTTAAATTTTTTTTTTTAATTTAGTCTTCTTATGTATTACAAAAGTATTAGAAAAAATTAACTTACCGGTAATTGATAACTGAATACCAGTTAGTTTGTGGTTTAGCTCACCTGAGTTAAAGGCTCATTAAATGAGCTTTTCTGATCAAAAGGTGTCTAGAGTCTGTATGTATCAAATTTTTCATATTAGTGGTAACAAAAAAACTTTACAAATCTTATCTAGGGGGGACAGCAGAGCCATGTTAATCCTGTTGATATTGAAACATCCCAATATGTTGATTCAACTTAGGTTATATCATAACCTCTTGAAGTTTTGTTTAGACCACAATATGAGTTTAAATTTTTTTATTGGAATAAAGAGTAGATAAATCTTAAATTTTTTTTCTGGGGAAAAAAACAAAAAAAAATTGAAAAACAGCAGGGCCAGGTGACTCGGGTAAGCTTTATAAGCCTTTTTTGGGGGGCACCCGTACAGTTAGAGATGATGTTTTCATATGATACTGTTATAAATGAGATTGTATGGGAAACAAATGCAATATCAAGTGATTTCATAGTGAAATTGAGATTGTTGATTAAAATAAACTGGATCAACTTCAAGAGTAGAAAATAATGGCAAAATAGAGAGTGTGTGGGATTCCTGATTAATATTGCCTCTGGATATTGAAACAAAAACTGACTGAATTTTTTTTTTTTGGATAAAATTTGATCTGCTGATCCATAATGGAATGAGAGGTTACTATATGTGTTGATGATCCATTGTCCATTAGATTATGGAGACATGAGTAAACACATTACACAATCTGTAAAGCAGCATATAGTCTTTGTTTCACCAAGCAATAGAATTAATATTGATTGAGGCAAATATTTACGACAGAGCTATAATTACACTTCCTAAGTAAAGGCTATTTGCATGCTTGTTTTGAATAATATATTATTTCCAAGCACATATTGATATGGTACATATATGGCATCCTATCATTGTTTTCCTGTAGCATTCTAGATATAACTGTTTCCATAGTTTCACTTTGATAAAGACGAGTACAGTTTACATGGAGTAGAATATCGCTTTAATACAAATGTGTTTGAGTGGTATTACCTCTCAACTAATGATAGGAATTTGTTTTCTCATAACATGCTTAAATTAGGAAAATCTTTAGATCACGTAGAAAAAAAACTAGACTTGGGGATTTATCGGGGGTGTACATTTTCAAAAATTGGTTACTAGCCCAGGGGCTAGCGGCAGTAACAAAGTTACTAGCCCAAGGTCCTCAGTTACTAGGCCATACTGATGGCATGATGAATGTTGCATATACATATATAGCATAAAGCCTAAAAATGAAGATAAGTTGAAATAAATATGAAAAAGCAATGGTCAGTTTTATATATTTTATTATCAATCAATTTGTTTGGCAGCTTGTATAGTCATACACCCATTTCACCTAGCTTCATTAACTTTTTTTAGTGTATACATTGTAACCAGCTACATGTCTTTTGTCACTGGACTGTCTGTCACTAGCAATGCACATTGCATATAAGTTAAATTGGTTTGGCGACAAGGTTAAATTGTACAGAAATTTGGTCAACGTAAACTTATTTAGACATGTAGGTAAAATTTGTGTCAAAGTTTGTAAATTGTCTTCATTTACATGCATTATTAAGAATACTGTTGCATAAACTCTGCATTTCAGTTATATACACATTCAATTTATTTCTTTTTTCTTTTGATAAAAAGGTGAAGGGCAATTTGATAATGGTTGTCAGTTTAAAGGATGCTAATGAATCTGATTAAAACAAACCCATTGATTGCTATTAAGTTTACCTTAAACCTGTAGAATCAATATAGGGAGTTACACAGAAGTAGGAACAATTAAACCAATATATCTGTTAAAGGCTAAAAACTTGCTCCATTGATTCAGTCCAGGATTGTATTTGTAGAATGGGAAGTAAAACTCGTATAACATCCTACTTGTTATTACAAGTTTAATTGAGAGAGAGGTTGGATGCTTAATGTGTTTCTGTAACAATCTACAGAATCAAAGCCCACGTTCCTACGATGGTTCCCAGGTCGTAGGCAAGATTAGCTTTGACATCCTGAAAGGAAGAAAGCTGGAACGGAAAAACATGCCAGGCTTCGGCACAATCTGAGAGGAAGTGATGCGAATTCATTAACGGAAAGTCAATTAGAGCCATTGAGAGCAGAGGCCAGCCGCATGTGACAATGTTTATTATAGGTGAAGTAAGTTTATTATAGGTTAAGCGATCTTAAAAAAGGAAAGTTTAGTGCAAAAACGTTCCACTGTTAATTGGTTATAGAAAGGTGGCGGGCAGCAAAACCACACCTTTTGCTCATTTGCAGTCTTTCTGTGTTAATGAGTCATTGCTTTTTTTTTTACCGTAACTTATCGATGGATCAGGTACAGAGATTGAACTATCATTTTGTATCTGTACAATCTTTACACTAAAAAGTATTGGAAAACTTCTCTACCAGTGTTAATGTTTTAGAAGCAGGAATAGGCTAGAACAATTTGCATTGACTGAAATGAAAAGTGTTTTTCTGTAAACTGTCACGATCTATTTGCTGTAGAAGTGATTATTGGATACTCAGATTGGAGAATATTGTTATACATCCTGTATCAGGAATCCTTGTTTATCAAACTCTCTTAAAAGCAAATACTAGAATTTTAATGATAGCATTGTTTGAAATGGGGTTTTTTTTGGTATTGATGTAATAGCCTACCTATTATACACAATCTGGTCCTATTGTTCTAATACGTCTGCAAACCATTTCACGGTGGAATTGGAGTAACTGCCAAGTTTTTGTTAGGCTGCTTAGAACATTGATTAAAATCCAATATTGACAGCTGAACCCACGGACAATTTAATAATGGTTCCATTGAAACTGATGCTGTGAGTACTACATTGTGTGGAAGTGCCATTGATGGATACAGATGTGTTTTGGAGTTATACCTACAGCATATCTTCCTCACACGACATCGGTCAGCTGGATTAAATACTGAATCTCATCAACGGAGAACCACTGGTGCAGTGACCAGAGTCACAGTGGAGCTGCTCTTCATCAATTTTTAATGAAGAAGTATTTGATCTTTTGGATTCAAGCGCTTGGAGAATTCTGCATGGGCATGCATGGTTGAAAAATGTTACTTGTTTTGTGAATAGTGTTGAGTGATGAGTTTGTGTGGTGTCAATGAGCTATAGATTAATAAGTCCTGTTGTCATTGGATATAGCAAATTATGAAACAAAGATACTGGCCACCTAAGAAGTGTAGGCAATTATCATTATCAGGTGGATGTTGAATATGAAATATTAATACTGGAATTTCAGACATCTGTCAGCTAGAAGATAGCTTGGCTATTAAATACCAAGTGCTACATTTTTTGCATGATTTTATTGAAAGTGAAATGTCACAGCTCACAATGATTGGACAATTTAGAATGGGATAAATTTTTTTTCTCCTTAAAGGAGCAGCGAGAGCAATCCATAATTTATTCTCTGGGAGTGATTCTTTTTAATGCCGGCATTGACAAGGAGTGTGTGATACGATGACAGCGATGATGAGGGAAATGATTCCTTGTTTGGTGGTCTTTGGATTTATCATGCTGATGTACACCAGTGCTGTGTCTAGCATGGAACCTATACCTACTTTGCCATTAAAAATACCTTTGGATAGGTAAGTGAAAGGAAATCATGTACAGTTGAACTTTGATATCTCAAACACTGATATCTAGAATACCAGGGATAATGCTTATTTTTGAAGTATTTTACCCTGGACGTCTCGAATCTTTGGATATCTCAAAGTATTTTCTCAGTCCCATCGAGTTCGAGATAACAAGGTTTGACTATGCATTTGTATTAAATTTACTGATTAGGCTTTAGATATATGAACAATTGTTTCCTGACAACCTGAAGTTTTATAATTTAGATATCAGACTTGTACATTCAACAAAGAAATCTCCATGCAACAACAATGTATTATTAATCTTATCACATTGGGATTTTTGAAATTTTGAAATTTTATCAATATAACTATATATTGATATCTTTTTTGACATTTATGTGAAGTAATGGTTAAAGTTGCTTTCCCTAATTTCCCTTGAGTAATAAAATAGGAAAAGTGACATTTGCCTGCTTTGCTAAATTCTAATTTTCGCATATATCTGTTTGCTTTATAGATGAAATAAATGAATCCCTTTTCAGGGTTTTCAAAAAGAAACAGATGGTGTACTTATAGAAAAGTAGGAGATACCCTGTGGAAGTGATTTTAATCGAATATGTAACTGAATTTTTCTCAATTGAATATTTTATCGAATATTTTGCCAGTACAATCATGATTTCAGCCAGGTAAAAGTACTGGGCACCAGCAGATTTTGAAAGGCCTGCCTTTTAAGGCTGTATATTGCTTTGTAGTATTTTGTCTTGTTCATCATTATCCAATATCTCATTTTTTTTTTTTGGGGGGGGGGGGGGGGGGGACTTTCTCAGAACATAAAACAGTCATCATGAATGATGCATTTGTCATTCAGTGAACTTTGAAAATATCAAGTTACAACAAACTGCTGGATATCAGAGTCTTGATATGAAATATTTGATATACTGTATGCAGGGAAATTTTCACCACTGTTTTATTTTTGCTCCTTTCGCCTCACTCATAGATGGGTGAATTTAAAGAAAACAGTATAATTTCTTTAACAGAACTATGAGTGGGCAAATTTAAAATGGGGCAAAATTGTTTGCATGTGTGAAAGGGAACAAATAACACGGGGCGAAAATTACCTTGTATACAGTATTAATAATTGAGTAAAGATAAATGAACTTATACACATTTATACATGTGTATAAGACTTTTGTCAATTTGCATGCATTGTGCATAGAAATGAGACCATGATTTATATTCCATGCATTCTACCATGAAACAAAATAGTGAAACGCAATACACACTAATTAATCATTAATGTTTAGTTTGACATGGTACTAGTTGAGACTTGTTTTATGTTACATATCCCTTAGGAATTTTAGAAGACTTTGCTAGTCTTTTCTCTGTATATCTCGATCAATAGGATGAGGTCTCAGCTTTCATAATTTCCAATACATCCATTCAGATATCTTGTGATGAGTATAAAATGCAGAATGATAATAAATTAGCAAATTTCAAGCTTTTCATCGACAAACTGTCAAGGATTTTTTTTTTATTAGTCAGCATAAATATTTTACATGAAATTCATTGAATGACTTAATTGTATAACCAGATACATTTTTTGGTTAAAACTTTCATGTTTTATGTTACTGTCAATTAAATTGGTTTTTAATTAATTAAATTAATTTGATGATTTTCATACAGTTATTGACTCTAGAAATTAATGTATTGAATTCAGACTAGTTAGAAGACTGGGAAATTGTATATTTATGATATCTGTAATTTTAATGAAAGTGCAGCCAACCACACTAATTTTGAATATGATAAAGTCTGTAGGGTAATGATACATACAAATGAAGGGTAAGCTGAGACATACTTGCTACTAAAAAATGGGGAAAAATGCATGGATCTGACTGTGTAATTATTATCAGAAAGCTGGTAAACAGATACCAGTTAGAATGCGTGGTTAAATTTTATCCAAATTGGAAATAATCTACTCTTGATTATAGTCTGTGGTTACCAATAGCTCACTGGTAGATAGATAGACCTAGATGCATTGAATGGCAGTTTTGCATTTGATTTTACAAGTCCCAATTCCTGCACGTAAACTTCTTGTATCCCATTATCAAATTATGATCATTAACAATATGATTAACCATAACCAGATATATAAATAAGTATTTTATTGTTCTCTCAGAAGCATGGAATGATCTGGAAAGTAAAAACAGGTATATCATACATTTATGTCTGTTAGAAGAGGATATTAAAACCATTCCCAATTGCTTCTCCAGTAAAATAATGAAGGAGGGATACTGAAAAGACTGTATTATAAGTGATTGAGTTCTTAAGTAAAGTTGATATGTAATCAACCTAGACAGAGCAGTTTTAAACACAAAGCATTGAAAGGCTTGGATAGAATATTTATAAACAATATACAGCAAAACTCGGTTATAGCAAAGTCTTGGGGACCAGCAAAATTACTTCACTATATCCATTATTTGTTATAATCGTATAACAAATTCATTTAAGTATATATAGCGAATTTGCAATATAGATGTTTTTCCTTCAAATATGACTACCAAATGTATTTTGGGAAGTATTAAATCCAAAAATTATCTTGGAGTTCAAAAATTTTCAGATGAAGTGAATCTCAAATTTAAAATACTTACAAAAATAGTGAAAGTTCAATATTTTAAAAATTAAGATCTTTGAAAGTTTGCTATAATTAAAAGATGTAAATTTTGGGTTTTTTTTAACCTTTTGGGGATACAAAATCAATTCGCTATATGCAAAAATTTGCTTTATCTGCATTTATTATATCCGTAAAAATGTACAAGGAATTGTTAAGGATTTTGCCGGGGTTTCCAAAAATTGCACTACGTATATCCGTAATTTGCTATATTTGTGTTTGTGCTAAACTAGTTTTACTGTAGTGTACTTTAAAGAAGATTCCAACCAAGAACTAATTATTTAGCTTTCCCATTGAGGCATGCATTAAGAACACTTGCACAGAAATTGTTGGAACCCAATTCTGCATAATCCGTTGAGTTGTAGAACTTTTTAAGGTATTTTTTAGCTCACCTGAGCCAAAGGCTCAAATGAGCTTTTCTGATCGAAATTTGTCCGTTGTCTATTGTTGTCGTTGGCATTGTAAACTTTTCACAATTTCATCTTCTTCTCCAGAACTACTGGGCCAATTTCAACCAAACTTGGCACAGAGTATCCTTGGGTGAACGGGATTCAAGTTTGTTCAAATAAAGGGCCACGCCCTCCTCCAAGGGGTGATAATTATGAAATAGGGAAAAATTAATGGCATCATGGAAAAATCTTCTTCTCAAGAACCAATAGCCAAGGAAAGATGAAACTTATGTGAAATCATTGTCAGGTAGTGTAGATTCAAGTTTGTTCAAATCATGACCCCCAAGGGTAGGATGGGGCCACAATGGACGATCAAAGTTTGACATAAGAGTATATAGGAAAAATCTTTAAAAAATATTCTTCTCAGGAACAGCAAAGCTACAATTGGTCATATTTATATGGATTCTGAAGCTTCTGCAGGTGGTCTAGATTCAAGTTTGTTCAAACCATGACCCCCGTGGGGTAGGGTGGACCCACAATGGATGATCAGTTTTACATAGGAATATATAGGAAAAATCTTTAAAAATCTTCTTCTCAAGAACAGCAAAGCCATGGTTGGTCATATTTATATGGAAGCATCCTCAGATAGTGTAGATTCAATTTTGTTCAAATCATGACCCACAGGGGTATGGTGGGGCCACAATGAAAGTTCAAACTTGTTGGAAAAAAGTCACAGTTAGTCAAAAAATACGTAAGAATCCTTAGTTAGTATAGATTCTATTTTGTTCAAATCACCCCCCCCCCCTCTCTCTCCCTTTTAGGGGTAGGTAGGGACCACTTATGCATTTAAGCTTTTCAATACTAAACTGATTTTTGCTTTTTTTTTCTAGCCACAGTGCTCAGGTGAGCGATGTGTCATCATTTATAAATAGTCAGCAAGTGGTTTTTTTTTTTGGTCAACATGGTTTTTGACAGAGTTTTTTTTCCTATAAATATTGTTTCATAACTGAAGAAAATAGTTGCATTTGTATTTTTATACGTATTCTATGTGTTCATGTATATTTTTTTGTTTAAACAAAAAGTCTCCATATGACTAGGTGATTTTATAAGCCTTATACATTGTAATAAGTATATTATTAGGGTGATTATAATATTGATATAGGAGTAACCTCAACCACAGATTGCTTTTTAATACATAGCTTTGAAGTGAAAATTGCTCATTTGTCACTGTTGAACTGCTAGACATAGCTCTCTCAGAAACTCAAGTCACCAATGCTTTATATAGATACCAGTATACACAGGTAGAATGACTTGAAGCAGTCTTCTATTGTATACATTACTGTATGGATTAATATAAAGGGTATTATATTAATATAAAGGGTATTAGATTAATGTAAATGGTATTATAGTGTTATGTGGTGTCTTGAAGGGAAAAAAGTCATTTAATTCCAATGTTTAATGAGTGGCAAAAAAAAAAATAATAATGTTAGAGATATATTAGTCTGGCCCTTAAAATGTTGAACCCTTGAAATGAGATATGTTAGACTCGCGGGTCTATGGGTCCATAAGATGTTGGAGTGCTTTGACATTTTTTTTTACGTCATGCCATATTCGTCATTGTAGGCAGGATTTGCTATAATATCTTATTTGCATTCATTGATGTTCAACTGTTACAAAATTGACAGAGTTAAATACGCAGTAAGTGTCAACAAAATTTTCATTAATATTTAGACAAATTCATTGCAAACATTGAAGCCAGCATGAGATAAACCATAATAAAATGTAAAAGGTTTAGCAAAATATTTATTGACTGTTCTTGGGTAGAATGCATTTGCCCAACTCTCAAACTGAACTGTTTGCCGTGGGCCTAATAGCCACAGGCAAACAGTTGGGTCTTTGGTTTGACAAAACACATGTCCTCAAACCCTGTGAATAAATGTATAATGTTTAATGATAGA